TTTCTCAATTTTAACAAAACACCTTTTTTTTTTTTTATATATCTGATGACAGGAAGGCTGTTGGCATTATGAAGGCGACTCGTGAGTCATCACAGTTTTGCAATGTGCATGACGTCATGCATGGGCCAGTCATTTCTGCTTGTGGATACATTTATGTATTTATTTAGAAAAGTGCTTTAGTCTTATGCATTACTATTTCAATTGTAATAAAAGATCTCTGGTTTAACTCATAATTATGTTTTTGAAAGGAGACTCTTCTGCTCTCCAAGACTGCATTTGTTTGATCAAAAATACAGTAAAACCAGTAATATTGTGAAATAATATTGCAATTTAAGATAACTGTTTTATATTTTAATTTATTTTGAAATGCAAAATAATGCATTCAACTTCAGTGTCACATGATCTTTCCGAAATGATTCTAATATGCTGATTTGCTGCTCAATAAACATTTCTGATTATTATCAATGTTGAGCTGCATTGCAATGTTGAGTTACAGTTGAGTTACAAAAAATAAAATCTTTTTGTAACATTATACATGTCTTTACTGTCACTTTTGATCAGTTTACGAAAATTCTAAGAAAAAAAGGTGTATATATATTTTGATGCTTGCTAGTGCTTACAAAGTGTCTGAATAATTTGACATTTGTCATTTGACCTGCATGTTTCATGCTTTGTAAGTGATGCGTGCAATCTTATCTTTTCTGTTATACACTATTTATGTCTTGTTTTTCTATATATGGAACACCAAAGGCAGAGATTTCCCGATCTCCACAGTGACCAACAGAAAAAAAAGGAAATTTTCCCAGTAAAGAGGAAAGTTGAGAAAGACAAACGCTGTCTTGATTCCAGGGGACTAAGAGGGTCAGAATCCAGCAGAGCCGGAGGTCATCGCTGTCCTGAGAAAACACGCAAGAACTAATGCGGAGGTGGACTGCAAACAAGCTGAAGTAAATACTGAGCTGAGAGGTCATCTGGCTTTATTTAGACGAATGCAATATGGTGAGTATAAATTTAAAAAAAAACTTTATACTCTCTACAGATTCTTCCAACCTGACTGTTAAAAAGTGTAACTAACTCCCACAGTGTCTCTAATATGCAAATTAATCTTTCTTCCCATTTCCATTTACCAAACAACTATTTTACTGCGTCATATAAAACATTTCACAAACTCAAGATGAGGTTCCTGTTTTTAAGGAAGTGGCAGAGAGTGTTCATCTGTAGAGTCTCAAGGTAGAGCGCTACGGTAAGGCTTGCTTTGTTTTAAGTAATGTTTGTTTTAAGTAATGTGAAACTAGAAGTATCCTAGACATGAACATTATTTGTGGTGAGACTGTCAAAGTATGAGAATATTATAGATACATATAGACTATACATAAAGAAACAAAATGTTACAAAAAGTTGTTTCTCTTTCAAGTGTATTTAATACATGAAAATTGTTATTTAATATACACTGTAAAAAAAAATCTGTTAAATTTACGGTAAAATACCGGCAGCTATGGTTGCCAGAACTTTACCGTGAAAAATATGGTAGCAACATTTTAGGTTTTACAGAACTGTTTAAATTTACAGTGAAAAAACTGTATTTCATAAACTTATACAATGTTAATACGCAAACCTTTGAGTTAACTCATTTTATTTGCAGAAACCGACTGCACTTCATTTGGCCAATTGGCATTTGTTTATAAACTAATTTTTATAATGTTAAAGTAACACAAGCATATTGGTCTTAAGAACTATTTTGCTTAAGTCCATGAAAAAAAACCTACTGATTTACGCAAAGTCATTAAAAGCATCAATTCAACTCAAATCTTTTGCAGATAACAGCAGCACACATACATGTGTGATTGAAATTATTGAAGAGATTCACACTGCATCAGTATCTACACAGTCACTGCCTTTAAATAAAACAACAAGCAGCATAAGGTCAGTGTTTTGCTGTCCGTCCTTGACTTAAACACAGGCTCTGCTCTCTAGCACAATGGTGACCCACAAAACACAACAGGAAGTTCACTGTTAGGTTTACAGTATTTTGCTGTTTTCTTTTCTTGATTTTTTTGATTATTTCTGTTAAAAATACATTTCACAGTGTGTTTTTCTTCATCTCACACATTTAACCCCTTTAATCCCACAGCAAAATCCTCAGTTTTAAAGAGCACTTATATGTGTCCACACTACAGAGTGTTGAAGTGATACTGAAGCGGTGATGAAGTTAATAAGATAATTAAATGAGGATTGAGCATTAGTGATGAACACCTGTTAACAAGCAGAATCACTGAAGGAAAGAGAAACAAGAGCAGAGAAACACAACTTACAGCCAAAGCCAAAGATGAAATCAACTGAAAATAAAACATTAAATTTATCAAGATCTCAGCAGAGGAGGATTAAACAGCTCCACAAACAGCATCACCAGCTTCTTATTACTAACCAGTGTGACTTTATTTCTGTCATATGTGTACAAAAGCTCTTATTGAGATGTTAGGTGTTGTACTTTCATTTGAAGTCACCATAATGGCGATCGGTGTTTGCTTTAGTTGGGCTCTTGAACCTTGACTTTTTAAAAATAGTTTTCTTTGGTTACTTAAATTAGCGGTGTTTATTTAACACAGTTTTTATAGGAAGAAAAGTCAAAAGACTCTATGATCAGATAAAAGTGGTGTTTGTGATGTCAAGACCATCATGAACTAGTCTGATTCACTGATCTCACCTAATGTTTAATCTCTTATTAAGTGTGTAAGATATGACTAATACTCTTGAGTTGCACCACTGATACTACCACAATCATTGTGAAACATTCCAAAGCACAAGATGCACAAATAAAAGCTTTGAACTATTGCAGAACCTAAACACACACAGACATCAACAGTCAGCCTATGAATCTCAAGCTTGGTGACAATAAAAAAAAACGTCCATGCTGCAATGCATGCTGGGAGTTTTGTACTGGCACCCAGCATGCATTGCGGCATGATTTTTTGTTTTAATTAATAATAGTCACCATTGTTGAGATTCATGTGCTGATTCTTGAAGTCTGTGTGCGTCTAAACAGTGCTGTAGCTCTAAAGGTTTTGTGCATAAAATGTTTTTAAATTTCCTAATAGCTTGTCAACATCTGCTGTAGAGTCATGTTAGTACCATAAAAAATAAAAAAAAATCAACCCATATAATTAGACACTAATTGAGATCAGTGAATCAGATCATGAGATGATGATTTCATCATCATTAAAAGTTATCAAAACCACCAGCACAATTTAGCTCGGCTCTTCTTGTCATCGTAAACGTGCTTTGCATACACTGATACAACAGCAGAGAAAAACTAACATCAAAGAGTCAAGGGTCAAGAGCCCAACTAAAGCAACCACTGATCGCCAAAATGCTGAGACCAAACAAAACATTTTCAATACAATATAAACCTCGGTTAATTCTCAAAGAATTTTTGTAGATATATGACAGAAATAAAGTGAGTCTGGTTAGTAATGAGTGAAGCTGGTAATGCTGTTTGTGGAGTTGTGTAATCCTCCTCTGCTGTTTTATTTTGGTTAATTTCATCTAAGGCTGTGGCTGGAAGTCAGTTGTAGTTTTGTTTCTTGTTCTTTCCTTCAGTGATTCTGCTTGTTAACAGCAGCTGTTCATCAGTGTCTGAATTCACTCATTTGTTTTCAATCACTCGGTCTAGTGGACTATATAGTGAACTAATGTAGGGAATAGTGAATGAGGCTGTAGGGTGTGATTTCAGACACAGTCTATGAGTGTTGAATCTGAGGCTACTTTCTCGAAAACAAAGGTTAGATCTATTACAGTTATTCACCGTATATTGTAAGGAAACTTACTGTAAATCATTTAACAGGTTTATACTGTGGTATTTCTAGTCTTTTACCGTTAAAATCACGATAATTTTTTTACAGTGTAAGCCATACATGGACTCCTTTATTGGGGTTTTGTATAGGTATATGAACTGTTCCATTCCTTCAAAATTGACATCAAAGTAAACAATGTTGGTATTTCCTTTATTTTGAGTATATATATTGAGGATGCACAAAGCATTTTTTAAAAATGTCTGTTTTCCCACACAGCAAAAAAAAAAAGAAAAAGTTTTTAAAAGTTTTTTAAAAAAGTAACCAAAATCTATTTTAAATATATGTTGTAAACAGTAAAGCTCTATGAAATATATTTTTGAAATAGAAAATATATTTAGTTTCAATCCTCATATACCAAAATATATTTCAAAATGTATTTTCAGGCAAGAAAATAAATTTCCAATTGAACAGTAGCCTACACTTAGACTAAATGCAAATGTTGATGGAATAGCCATAAGATCAAAACTACATTAATAAGGATTTATTTTATAAGATAATTTTAGAATTTAATTTTATAAAAAAAATATATGTTCATTTGTGTTATAGACAACAAATAAAGTTTTTATTCATATGTGACATTTTCTTAGATTAAAATATATAGCACAAAATATATTTTTCAATGTTTTTTTTAAATATACATGTTTAATATATATATATATATACATATATATATATATACACACACACACACACAGTAGTCAACATTTGAAGTGGATCAAAACCTTTAATCAAAGTTGTCCTAAAACCTGAAACCAAAATGCGTTCTTGTCTTAGGACAACTTTTATGAACTTTTTTGATCCACTTCAAATGTTGACTACTGTATATATATATACAGTATATATACAAATATATTGCATATCTCTTATATATTATATATACAAATATATTATATACCTCTCTTGCAGTAGGTACCAATCTATCCCATTTCTGGATCGCTGTCCAGCAAGTGACCATCATGGACCAAAACGCAACCAATTCAACTGAAGGACCTTGTGGCTTGTCTGAAATGCCAGCTCGTCCATTCTTCCTATGTTTATACACAGTGATTTTTCTGGCAAGCCTGGTGCTCAACAGCATTACAGTTTATGTGTACTTTTGCAAAGCTACAAATCAATCCAGCATCACAATCTATCTGAAGAATCTGGCTATAGCCGACTTGTTTGTGTGCCTGTGTTTGATATTACGCATCGCTAAATATGCTAGAACCTCAATAGAAATTCAGCGTATCTACTGTAACTTTGGCGCTCCAGCTTCCTACCTCAACATGTACTCCAGTATTCTCTTCATGGGCTACATCGCTGCAAACAGGTATGGATGTTCATCCTTTTCTGGTAAAAAATTTACTTGATTTTCAACGAAATTGTGACCGCTTAATGTAACATTTTTGACAAGCTAAATATGTCAGTCTCTGAGTGACGTAAATATTTATGCCATGAAATAACTTAATGTTCATTCTATAAAATAAGTATAATGAACTGTGCAAAAATTATTTTAAATGTCTCCAGCACGTTTTATAATACCCAAAAATCAGTTATAGCTCATCCCTCATGCACGCTATCACATAAAACTATTACAACTAAAAACATTAATACAACACAGGCATCAGTCACTTCACTGAATACTTGCTGGCTAAAAAATAAATGATTATTAAAATCCACATCATTTGAATATCACAACATCAATGTCTGTCAAAAAAATAACATGCATAATACACCGTTACCTGGAAAACACACACTACCGGATGTTTTGACGACGTCATTGCCGGTTTTGGGGGTAATGCATCACAAGTAACGCAAGTTATGTAACCAGATTACTTTTTTAAAGTAACTAGTAAAGTAGCGCATTACTTTGTAATTCACAAGAAAATATCTGTTACTTTTTCAATAAGTAACCCCAGTTACTTTGTTTTCATATTTATCGACTGACAGCTCTTTGACAGCTATTTGAGCTGCGCCCTCTGCTGTGCAGACGTGAATTTACATTTCCTTCAGCCTGAGGTGTATTTCACATTTGGTGTGAAAGGGTTTTTACATTAAACTGCATAAATTGAACTTTTTATATTAAAAACAAGCAAGCCATGCCCAGATGAGAAATAGTAATGCAAAAGTAATGTAACACATTACTTTCCATAAAAAGTAACTAAATAATGCAATTAGTTACTTTTTAGGGAGTAATGCAATTATGTAATGCATTACTTTTAAGAGTAACTTTCCCGAACACTGGTCATTTCTTTCCGAGAAGAACATTTTTACATTGTTACATTCAATTACCCTTTTGCAGATTTTGCATAATTTTAAGTTATAATGTGTAATTAAAATACTGAGTAAAAATAATAGAGTCTTGAACAAGGACTTTTAATATACTATATAGCTTCCTCATATATGACTTCAGAAATATCCAAGTAATATGTTTTAACACAGCATAACAGGGTTGAACAGAAAATAAGAGACAAAAAGTCAAATTCAGCATTGTCAAATAAAAAAATAAAAAATTTAAATGAACACCACATTTTAATTTTATTATTGTTTTATATGCACTGATAGAATCTAATGTTAGTTGCTTTGGATAAAAGTGTCTGTTTGGTTAAAAGCTTATTGAAATGATCAGTAGCAAGTCATGGAGACACAAACAGCATTGCTTCCAGAGGATGGCCCTAGCTCTATATGACATATTTCTCTGTATTCTACAATTCACTGCTCTTTTGTTTCAGGTACATGAAGATCGCACGGCCACTGGAGACTCACACGCTGCAAACAGTCCGCTCCACACGCTACATCTGCATCGTGACCTGGGTCGTCCTGCTGTGCTCAAATTGTGCCTACATTGCTGCTTTTGTCAGCGCTAATAAACAAACCTCTGCCCACAGTGGTTTCGACTGTGACAGCTTTCATAACAGCTTACTCAAACAGATCTACTTGGCCTTGCAGATCATTTGCTTTCCATTGTTTTTGTGTGTGCTGGTATCCCTGATTCTGTTCTACCGGTTGAACGTACAGAAGCTTCGTCAAGCTCAGCGCACAATGCCAGATCAGCCTGGCAACGCTAAGCTCAGCAAGTCAAAGCGTAACATGCAAGTTCTGATGGTGGTTTTCTGCGTGTGCTTTGTACCGTATCATCTGGTGAGACTGCCATACGTGTTCATCAAACCCCTGCTGCAAGACTGCACAGCAAAGCAGGTTTTCTACATCCTGAAGGAGCTCACTGTCCTGCTCACAGTACTGAACGCCTGCTTGGATCCACTTATTTACTTTGTCTTTTGCAAGACCTTCAGAGCACAGCTTAACCTTCAAAGATTTTGCAAATCCAAATGAGATCAAGAGCTCTAGTAAGTTGAATTAAAAGGGATAGTTTACCAAAATTTTACTCACTCTCATGATGTTCCAAACCAGTGTGGGATTACAAATTTAAGAATCTGTTTAAAATATGCTGATCCTATGTTCTGACATAGCATCACATGAAAAATTTTTTTCTTCATTATTAAAAAAATAATAAAAGCACAAAAACTGCATTATAATGCTTCTTTATTATTGCCTCATATTCCACAACTCTCAGCATAGGGTGAGAGAGGAAACCAGCTTAAACTGTGCTTGACAAACACAACATCCATATTTATATCCGCTTTGAACTCCCACTGAAACCTCAGATAGAAATATCTGACAGAGATAATAATAATAATAATAATAAACCAGGAAAACCCTTCAGGCAACTGTGTTTATGTTTGTAAATGTTTGTGTGTTCTGTTCTTTTATACTCTAATTTATTTTATTGGATTTGAATGTATTTGCAAAACTGATTTGCAAAGTATTTACATTTAAAGTTACTTAAAGTTATAGTGTTTGCAGTAAAAAGTTACATAAGTATTTGGCATTTTAAGTTAAAATCAGATATGCTATTGTACATCTTGTATTCATCACTTTTCATCAATTTATTGCAATCCTGCTGAATAAAATTGAAACTTATATTCATTGTAGCATCATGAGTCCCAGGGAAATGTTCATTCATTCTTCTGTGTAATTGTACGTATATGAATGTGCTGACAATAAAGCTCTTTTGAATTTAGAAACATCTGAGACAAAGTTGATGCTTTATTGAAACACACCTGGGACTCTATTGACTCCAATGAGCAATGAAAGAGCAATCACATTGTCCTGTGGGTTATGCTGGAGCCCAGGGAGTAGGAAGCTGTTTGTGTACAGACATGAGTGGTAGGAAACTCCTGCAGTGCTGAGCAAGTGTTCACCCACGAGACAAACCCAGCCACTCTTTAGTTCCTGTATCAAAGTCAACGCCCCCTTCCTCTGAAATATCATGTGAGGCTCATCCCAACACGCTTCTTCTTATTCTGTGTCATGATACAAGCTGACTCAACTCTTCAAGTAAGTTTCTTCTTATCATGGAAACTTTTGTAATAATGTTATCAAATTTTTTTTCTAATATCAGGATATGCGAAAAAGTCACTTTGAGGGATTTACAATTTTGCTACAAATAGCACCATGCTATTTCTAAAGACATTCGAATAGTCATTTTGATTAAAATCTGAAATATAGGCAGCAAAATTAAATGCAGTAGTTTACATCAAAAAAGACATTCAACGGAATGTTGGAGACTATATTGTATCGCATTGAATGTGCACCTGTAGTATACTTAAAATTGTAAAAGTTTATACTACTTGTAATATTATATTATTACTAAGGATAGATAATATTACTAAAATACTTAAGTGCACTTTATAATCATGTCAAATTAAAAGTTTTATTTTAAAGTACACTCATTTTAATCTAAGTAAAGTACTTAATTATAATTTTAACTGTAGTGTGTTACAATATGTAGTGTATTACATTTAAAGTTCAATTATTTGAAAAGTACTAACTGCAACTACAACATTACAAATGTGTAATTCAAAATATATTTAAATACATGACATATATTCTGATCTAATTTCTATTGAAACGTGTATTCTAATTTACCATAAATGCTTGTCAGAACACTTGGTAGTACACTTCACCATATTTTAGACAGCAGAACTAATTATGAAATTACATAGAAAGATGTACTTCAGTACTGCTTAAGTAGGTCAAAAAAGCACTCTAAAGGTCATGTACAGCATTTAATATAAATTCAAACTATAATATATTTTCATGTTATGGCAATTACATGTAATTAAGAGTTTGAAAACATTACATTCACAATTAAGTATGCTGTTTTAGAGTATATTAATTCCATAATAAATGCACTTTTTAAAGTATCCTAAAATGGATTTTTTCACAAGATTGGTATTGTCAGAATTTTGTCAGAGAGAGTTTGAAGTAGAAACAAAAGCATAAAAAGTGCAAGGACTATACAAAGATGTAGATTATTCATGAAAGTGGCACTTTTAATTTCTGAACATCAGCAAAAGAAAGTAGCAGAAGTTACAACATTGAATCATGTCACAATATTTCCTGATATCATCAAAGCTAAAGAAGTTCTTTCTTACGAAATGTCAGCCCACTTCAACGTTGGAATCTTCTGGGTGGCGTTCCTGCTGATGGTGTTTTGCTACACCTCCATCGCCTGTCATGTTTACCGCTCTTACAAACGCGTGCAGCAGGAGAGCAGCGTGGCGAGACGGCGGTCAAATCGAAGCATCTTTAGCTTGCTGGCTGTTTTTGTCTTCTGCTTTGTTCCGTACCATGTTTGTCGCGTGCCCTACACGCTTAGCCAAAGCCACAAGGATGATTTTAGCCCCTACAACCGCTTCATTCTCTTCCAGATCAAAGAAGCTACGCTCTTCCTCTCTGCCCTTAATGTGTGTCTGGATCCTGTCATCTACTTTTTCATGTGCAGGACATTCAGAGAGTCGCTTTTGCAGAAGATGTCATCAGTAAACCGCGAAAACAGGAGGCCTTCAATAGGCACTGGGCTCAGTATCAGCAATCTGTAAAGATTGTGCAACAAAGTAAAACGAGCATTACCCATTTGCAAGATGGAAAAGATATTTAGAGTTGAAACCACATACATAGCTGTGGTTTTCTTGCATGCGGAAACGCAGCATAAAGAGATGGAGCGGAAGAAGGTCACAACAAAGTGGTGTTTTCCAAAAAAACCCTAAGTCAGCCACAGCTTTCAAAACTGTTTACTGAAGAAAAGTCAACCCTTAACTGGAGAGTTGCCTATAAATAGAAATTCTGACATAATTTTCATATCCTCATCTCATTTTAAATCTTTTACTCTTAAAAAATAAATATTGCTGCTGTTTTCGCAGCGATGCCATTGAAGAATCATTTTTGGTTCCCTGATGAACATTTTAATGAACAGTTCTAAAAAGAAGCAATTTTTCTTATTGTGAAGAACATTTTAAAAAACTTTTCCACTATAAAGAACCTTTTGGTTAATATAAATATTCCGAGGATGTTAAAGGTTCGTCATAGAACCATAGATGTTTGTGTACTTCCTTCTATGGAATAAAATGGTGACACTGAAGACTATTCAAGACATTCTTTTCTGTACATTAAAAGTGAATGAGAAATGAGAGCTCCAAAATGACAAAGAAGCAACATTAAATTAAGTCCATATGACTACATCACAGTCCGAAACATAAGTCTTTAATTCACAGAAAATCTTTCAGCATGCAGTTCTAAAAATCGAATATGGCCTCATTACAGGATGATGGCATCATTATAGGAGGTCTGATGTGATTAAATTTGGACATGAGCTCAGTGCTGTTGATTTAAATAAATTCTAAAATTCGTATGAACTACAAAGGCAGAGGGCAAGATTATGGTGAATATCACCTTATATTATATGGAAAAAAACTGCCAAAATAAATCTTTAAAAATTCTCCACAGAACAAAAAAAAAATATTATATAGGTTTGGAACAATTTGACATTTTGGTTGATCTGTTCCTTTAAAATTGCACTTAGCACAATCCCACACATTTCACACTACTGTTGTTTACATGGTAAGCCTCAGCATCATTGCAAAGATTTTTTTTTTTCCCCCACCACAACGGTGATGCCTATTGGCTCTGGAGAGACAGGATTTTTAGATATGACACTTGGTTAGTACAGAAACCATTTCCATTGGTTTTATCCTGTGTGGAGCTGTACAGCCCATATTTCATTTGCTCACACACTCACATTCTCCTTTCACATACATATTTTTCTAGTTTCTCACTCATGTATTCACCTTTCAGTTACATAAATGTCATGTGTTTTTCTTTCACACACACACACACACACACTCCATTCACATACATATGTTTCTACTTGTATTATATGTATATATATAGCTGAATTTAATACGGATACCTGCTCATCTTTTGTTTTGTTTTTATTTTGAAGTTAAATATTCACATTCTTCATTGGATCGTTTGCAGGGAAGAGCTAGTTTATCGCTTTGCATGATAATGAGATTTTTTTTTCTCTTAAGTTTTGTAGAGTTTTGTTTACTTTGATCTGATTAGCATGAAAACAGTGTCGCCCGCTGCTGCTTCAGCCGTCATATAGTAGATTATCCAAATAAAGTGTTTGTTCAACAAGCTGACAATTGTTGTCATTGTAAATATTAATTTTTCCATGGCCACAGAGGAGAATCAGAGATTGTGGGTCACATCAGCAGACAGAAACAAGCACAAGTTTATATTTATTTCAACAAATGACAACTGAAATTAAATTCCTGGAAGCGTGTGAACAGTTTTGAATTTAGAATTTTAAAATGCTGGTTTAATGTAGTAAGACAGTGATGCTAAGACATGCAGATAAGCAAACAATATACATGCAAAGCGTTTTCCTCTCTTTAGAAAAACGAAGAAAGCGCTTATGCATATGCTGACGGTATTTAAAGTTCATATTTTGGGTTCATCAGTTTTTCTGCACAAATGCTTTATTAGTAAGGTGTGTACAGAATGTGGTCTATCACTGTCTCGGTGGCGGTGCATAAGTGTTCAACGTGATCTCATGATAATTTGTATGTATTTCACGTAAAATGTGGTTTTATAAAATGCACATTTACTTACATTTTTACAGGCACTAAAACGTACAATAGTGATGTATTTTCAGCATCTAAACGTAAAAATACTTACATATTTTCAGCATTTAAAGGTGCAGTAGGAGATCTTGGAAAATGCTAACTTTAGCCTGATAGCACTGAAAGTGAATGTCCCACCCTCTCTGCAATCGCCATCCAAAGCCACGCCCCTTGAACACATATATGCTCACAGACCAGAGTACCAGAGACAACATTGTAGGCCCGTGGTTCTCAAACCTGTCCTGGAGTACCCCCAGCCCTGCACATACTGTATGTCTCCCTCATCTATCACACCTGATTCAGCTCGTTAGTGGAGACTGCAAGGCCTGAAGTGGGTGTGTCATTTATAGAGCGACATACAAAGTGTGCAATGCTGTGTGTACTTCATGGAGAGGTTTGAGAACCACTGCTATAGGCTACATCAGTGGTTCCCAATTCCAGTCCTCACGCCCTCCTGCTCTTCACATTCCATATGTATCTCTTATCAAGTGCGACGTTTGTTCTATTCGACCGTAAGTGCCCTAGGAAGTGGACATCACCGGATATTCCGCCATGATTCCAGTTCGAAGCGACCTTATATGTTCCATACAAAGGGCATTAAAGTGTGCCGAGACGTGAATTTAAATAGTATTTATTTACAGAGGTATATTAGGTCACACTTCTCTAGTAAGTTTCGTTTGTGTGTGAAGATGCTGCGCAGCGCAAATCTGTGAATGAATGTTCCAAAGTGAAGTAAACTTCAACAGATTTCCCCTGCTCAGGGAGTAGGGAGCAAAGAACACTGTGGGGGGGTTGGGGGCGCGAGGACTGGAATTGGGAACCGCTAGGCTACATCATGTGTCATTCACCGGTGAGAAAACTTTATAGTACAGTTAGTAAAAGTACTACAATACCATGAAGGAAGATCGGCTTGTTAATGTTTGTCTGCTATTCTCGCTCTGTCTGCACAGCGTGCGTGAACGCGCTGATGACGTATCCTGTCTGCGCGAACAGGGTGCGCAGGGGTATGCAAATACACATGTTGACAGGCAGGTAGGAAAGACAATTAAAATGCTCGGACCGAGTGTTTTGATTGGACGAACATTTCTTGGTCCTACGCCTTCCACAGAATATATAAATACAGATAGATTGCTATCCGGATGTGAAGAGACTTTCAACCAGCATAACAAAAATTTTCTGAAGACAATCACCTATTTCACCTTTAAAACCTAGTACTATTCATTACTTTTGGTAAACTTTAAGTTATTCTTTATAACAAAATTTTTTGTTAATCACCTTTTTTTCCTCAGTACTTTGATCTGAATTCACTGATACATTTGTCTAATAAGTAACTAAAGCATTGGTTTAAGGAAGTGTTCTATATAGATA